TTTCGACAACCTTAGCGGTAGTCATCTTCAGAGTCATTTGACAGTCAGTCCTTCTGAGGAGTATACCAACCTGGACGATCGACATTTACAAACCTATAAATTACTTTACGAGAAAACAGATAAATTTGCAGAAACTATAGTGAAAGTAACTTAATGAGTTATTCAAGGAAAAGTGTAGGAAAATCTAAATTATAAGAGAAAACTGAACTTTAGAGGCAACAATTTGGTTTTGTAAAAATTTATGTAAATTAAAGACACAAAACAACAAGTTGTGATTAAGGAATAAAATAATTATAGGGAAATATCAGAGCATTAAACAATGGACAATGGGGTAATGAAAGAAGTGATGCAGCACGTGTCTATTTCTGAGTAGATCTGTCAAAATATAGGGAATTCAAAAGTAGGCATGCAAGATGGCAAAAGGAAAATACAGGAAGAGATATACAGATCCATGCAGTTAAAGAGAACATGCATGTTTTGTATAAGCTATCGATATTCCTATTAAAATTATGTACGTACATGACACAATCACAGCACTACATGCAGACGAGATCGATGACTTTTACACTCGCATCAACAAACAAACTCAACTGCTCTGACTGCCACACCTCCTATTTCGGGAACACTAGCAGGTACTTAAACATAAGACGTACCGAACACAAACGAGCTACTAAGAAACAAGACAAAACTTATAACATTGCCGAACATCACCGACTGACAATCACAACATTGACTGGGACTTGGCAAAATGCATTACTTATGGCACTGACATTATACAACGGCTTACATTAGAACGTTGGTCTACCAACTTAAAACAAACCCCCTGAACAGATCACAGCAATTACCTGCTCCTTACAAACGACTTATTTACAATACAAACAAACGATCAACTAAAAACTTTGCACTTCACACTAATCCACAATGACAATACACAATTAGCACCCACACATTTCCTGTACACAAAATGCAATTACGGAAGAACCAGAAAACAAATACAGCTAACCTGACGTTTACTCATTATTTGACTCTGAAGATGACTACCGCAAAGGTTGTCGAAACGTCAGACAACAACAACAACAACAACAGTCCTTCTCAGGACTATACTAACCTGAACGATCTCCATCTATAAACATGTAACGATACTTCCGAATTCAAATTATTTACTCTAAACTATATCACCTTAGTTACATCTCATGCAACATATGGTTACTGATTCAAACTAACTATATTCATACACTGCGACAAAGTTTAAATATATGTGGTAGTTTGGGGAAGGCGTTTATTAGAGAGAAGTGTTTGTTATAGAGGGTCGTCTAATAAATTCAATTATTTATTATATTTAAGAGTGCTGAAGTATTTATTAGATCATCTAGCTACGCTACATGCATATACAGAGTCATTAAAACATTGTATCGATAAAACAACTTTAGGTTTATAAGATTTTAAGTGCAGTTGAGTTATAAGTAGCATTTTCTATACATTCATCGTTTTGCTAACGCTTTTAAATATTATTTAAAGTTTTCAAATAAATTTGTTCTGACATTTGTTTGCTCATTATTCAAATACTTATTACCGTAACTGCAAAAAACATTTTTCACTGCCACTATTTATACAAACCATTATCTTAAAAACAGTATAGCTTTGCCTAAAACATTACTTGTTTCTTTTCAATTAGAATTCCTCTCTATAATTTATGTGCTTCGATAAAGAAATTATTTGAAAGCTATTAATTGAGAAACATCAATTGATTTTGCAATTCTACATTTCATCATTTTATTTAGGTAAAACATTCATTCCATTATCTTGGGAAGAAAAGTATGTTCAGAGTCTTTTTTATCTCCAAGAACTAAGTTACGTATACGTACATCGCTGCTTTTTATTACAGAAAACATATTTCATAAATGTAAGTACAAATTTTAAAAAACTCAGTCTGCAGTTTACTCAGTTGAAAAAATACGAAATAGGATATGTGTCCAACTCTACGGATTCAGAACTTTGAAATAAACTGTAGAATCCCAAGATAAAGAACAATGAAAAATACATCAATTTATTAAAAAGATAATGCGTGTAGTTTTAAGTTGTATGTCTTTTATGAGAAGAATTCTTGTAAAGGAAAAAGACAAATTTTGAAAAGAAAAAATCCTGTTTTTGGTCCAAGCCTCACGATGCCCCGAGATATTTGAGAACTAGACGTTAATTAAGGGAAATAGATAATTGTTGTTGTCCATAAAGCCCATGGATGCTTTGCTTGTGATACATGAGAAACAGTAAGTATAAAACATTTAAGGTCGTCTTGACTTATTAGTGCCTAAAAAAGGCACAGTGTCAAAAGAAGTTAATTGAAACGTTGCTTGGTTTATTTAATAAGAAGAGCTCTTGTAAAAAAAAAGATAAAACTCGAAAGCAAAAAACCCCCGTTTTCGGTCCATGCTTCCCGATACCTTTTTAAGCGTAAGGCACTAGAACGCTGCATGTTAACGTTTCGGTAGGAGATTTCGGCCCCTTCCACGCTATCTTACTTGGGGATGTCAATAGCAAGCTTCCGCCCATCAGACCCCGAGATCACCTGCAATAGGCTTTGCTCGGGGTACGCAGGGAGAGTGCGGTCGCGACCCGAAACGTCTGGACCCCTAAGCCACTGCATACATATCGCACCCAGCTTCCACTGCTAGTTGACATATACTATAAATTTATTTAGTTTTATATTTATATTCATAAATTCAAAGGCCTTACGATAGTTGTGGTATTATTGAAGTAACTACTGCGCATGCTCAGACGATATCTTTAATAATTTGCGACTAAGTAAGCTAAATGGCACAACTATAGTGCAAGTACATTTGGTTAGTCTTTGCCATGACTATAAACTGTTAGTCAAGTGGACTGCGCATGCGCTAGCACATTGCGATGATTTATTTATTAGTTTGTTATTAGGCATGCTATTTACCTCAAAACCGGTGCTAGTTGATGGAGTGTGGATGCAGTTGGTCGTTGCCATGACCATGAACTTGGGCAGCTGGTTAAGTCGATTGCGCATGCGCAGATGATTTATCTGAAATTTTTGACTGAGCGAGCTAATCCTTGATAATCGGTACTGGTACATACAGTTAGTCGTTGCCATGAACATGAGCTCGAAAAGCTGCTAGAGTTGACTAGGCATACGCACAGAAGGGTCACTAGTGTCGGGGCCTTTGATTTTTTTCTTCTCACGTATGTTGTGCCAGGCATATCTGCAGCCATTATTCCAGCAAAATATTTAGGGCTTCTCACTTGTTCCCAACCACTGAAATGACACGTCATTCTTATACTCAATTATTTTTGATTTCATTGTGGAGAAATGACGTCATGTAATTGCAGTGGTTGGAAACAAGTTAAAACCCCTAAATATCTTCCTGGAATGGTGGCGAACCTAAGGACGCGGTGTACACTTCTAAGGAGTGATCCTTCTGTTTAATTTTTATCGTGTGGTAAGACTCAATATACTCTGTGCAAACTTAAGTACATATTCTTCGATTCCAACCAACCTCCAGGGAATTATCAAATGTGGCTCGCCAACGCAGGCAGCAATAGTATAAAATATTCATTCGTATTGATCCAAACATGGCAGCCTTGACGCAACATACAAACCAAGAATATTTGATTTACAAATTCCAAATAGGCAGATTGCGCCAATTGCACTGTCGTTGTCTTGTTGAATTTTTCACTGGTGGTTTAAATAAATGTCTTTGGTTGAAGCGGTTTCACGCGTTCTCAACCGATTTAGCCAATAATTTAATTAAACTAAGACTTTGTTTACATTGCACCGGATTGCTACCAGGTAATGTTTAATTTTCTATGTATTAAAAGTCGGTGATAACGTCCAATATCAGAGACACAATAAAATAGATTGAATCTATCAACTCAATAAGAATTTAATCCAACCATTTACCCCCTTTGAAGCAAATGAAGATGTTGTGATGAGCAAATCCGGTATAGCGCAAACGCAGCTTAAATGAAAGAATGCAACTTCAGGTCGGAAAATTAATGTGACGACTGTTTGCATTGAAAGACAGTTTAATAAATTAACACTCATATACAAACATTTTATGATTAAACTGTTACAATTTGACTTACAGCTAAAATTAAAATTATTTAACGTGGAATTATATCCCTCGTAATATTTATTATTTTTAACAGTTCACCATCGATTCACACATGATACAGGCAAGCATAAAAACAATCGCGTCATCCTTAGCCAAAGTCTCCAGTCCTTACAAATAATGGAAACTAATGAAATAGATTGAGAGACAGACAAAATGATAATGATCTTAACATACATTAATGTGCTATTTCTGCAATGGTTTTCAGATGACATAATTTGTTGTGATTTGAGTAAGTTCCTTTGTGGCAGTTAGTAAAATGCTGTTGGCTGGAAGTGTTTCAAATCCGGGTTTTACAAGAATTCGCCAATCGTATCATCCATAAAAACCACTTTATTGATAATCATGATTTATGTATTCATAGTGCAGAACAATGAAACACAACAAACTACGACAAAGTATGTCATGTGAAAACAAGTCCTATCGCATTTTTCTCTGTTGTGCATAAACATTGGATTCGTCTACAACAATTTGTGGGGTTTTTCAGTTTATCCTAAAGAGTCATGAAAGGTGATGATCTTTCCACTGATTCCGTAGATGAATAATTTGTTTTATTATCCTCAAGTCTATCAGCATCTCTCATAACAAAATCACGTGGAGTAAACATATTTTCGTGTAAGTTTGTGTCCTTTGAAAATTCACGGGAAATTTCATCTTCATTTTGTTGCCTAGATAACATGACAAATTCGTCATGTAAGCCTGACTCAAGGCACCCAACAGAACCCATCTTATCCATTGATACCAAATCATTAGAATTACCAGCATCTGCGCAATCTTTAATGTCTTTTTTTTCTTGCTTGCTTAGCATAATTTCTCTGCGCAACAAAGGGTTTTTACGAGGACGTCCACGTTTTCGCTTTAAAATCACATTGTTGCGCCTTTTGCGCAGACGACTGTCCGTCGTTTAGCCTTAGGCTTAAATCCCCCAAGAAACTGTAATTCAGAACACGGATTTGTGTGAAATGATAATTGATCATTGACATTAGCAGATTCGGAGATATTGTTTATTGTCGTAGTAAGGATGGGTAAATCTTCCTTGTCAGCAGGATTTTCACAGCATTCAACACCCGAGTCATATGAACATGTGGCGCCGTCGGCAAGAAATTCTAAACAAAAAAGACAGTGTGCATTTGGCATACTTAATTGTTGTTTACGTACATGACACGAAATTTTGTTGCCTTTAATTAAAGATCTTCGAAAAATGTAATGTACTCTCTTCTTACATTAAAGTTTGCATGTTTAGACTGCGTTCACATGAGAACGGAACGAAACTCTAGCAGTATAGTTTCAAACCGTTTCACACTGTTAACACGATACCCAAAGAGTTATGCTGTTGTGATTAAACTACACCGGATTGATGCCGGCTTTTAGGCCATTCGAGTCATAATTATTTGAAGTCTTTAAATTTTTGCGGACCATATTCATCGCAGTGAGAGAGGTGTAAAAAATAATCGCAGAAAAGTATTGCGGAATTAAAGGTGATAAGGCTTAATCTTTATTCAGTCAATTATGATGCTAACTATTGAATACGTATTTTCAAATGGAAAATATCAATGGCTAAAACTAACAATTCCAGAAGTGGATGTGAAGATGGATGAAGAAAGTCAATCACAGAGGTCTTTCACTTAAGACAATAAAAACTGATTAAAAAGTATTCAATTAACGAATATTCAGACATATTTAACAACAAGAAACAGTATTTAAAAAAGAATATCCAAAATCATCGTCTTATGCAGCACTCGATCATACCTGAGATCCTTCCATGATCCCTTTTCAGTCGTTTACTCGTATCGCGAAAACTGTATTTTTTTTCTGATGACTCGTTATCGGGACAACTGAACGCTCCTTTACCGCGTCGCTCACACGTCACACATTCACATTTGCAATTACTGTCACCAAAGAAATTATCGCCATAGTAACAAGTAATTTCTTCGCCTTCATCGATATCACGCAGAACTTTTACACGCAGTGGAAACACCCGTTGAAACAAACTGCAAAATAGAAAACCAAACAACATAATGGAAGCACTCGATATTACATAATTTCATATGTACGTACGTCCTCGCCGGGAGCTAATTTTTAAATTTTTCAACCTACCTTGCAGTTAGGTCTACAATCTAAAATAGATGATAAAAAAAGTTAATATAGCTACATTGATATTTGACAAAGAATAGGATGTTTGGGGGTGTTAGAGGGGTGAAGAAAGAGTCGATGATTTTGAGTCTTTATGATGCAAATGCCATTGTGTTTCGACTGTTTTAATAATAGAAGTTCATAAAAAGGTTTTACATTGAAGTGCTCATGAAATAAATTCTTCAATTCCTTTTTTACTAGCTTATTGACCCATTTGACTTTTTAGAAGCAATTTGTTGTTATAAATGAGTTTCGTGCGTTTAGTAGAATCTATCTAAATTTACCTCTATATTTGCCGTAATGTGCCATGTTTGTTTTGTTGTGACGTAGAAACGAGTACCGCCCCTTAAATACTTTAAAGTATTCACTATAGCGTATGAGGTATATGCCGTGATCTTACAAGCTTTTCAAGCTGTGGTAAAAACCACATAATTTTGTTAAAATTAAATCAGATTTTTTGAATACATGAATATCGGCTACAGACTTCTCAAATGTTACTTAATGACACAAATGTCGAGTATGTACACATGAAACTACCTCTGCTACAACATATGATGAGTACATTAGCGCAACTGTGGCCTTTAAGATGGAACATTTTTGTGCACGAAGACCAGCAACGTTTGTAGAAGCAAGCATAAAAGGTGGAAACAAGCATTGATTAACAGATATAATCCTTTTTGAAAAAATGATATGCTAAGAAACAGCAGTTGAATCCGACACAAGAATCCAAACTAGTGGGAATGTTTATTCAATGAACAATATATCTTTTAAATTGATACACATATATATATTATATGATGAAGTCGTGTTAGGATTAGGGTTAGGGTATCAGTATCGATAATGTAGTAACACTGTTTTAAAGTTTTAGAGTTTTAAAGTAAGTAATAAAAAAGCAAAGTGTATGTTTTGGCTTAATATTTCTTACAAGGTGTTCAGTGCTTGCCAGTCAAACTTGCTGAAGGTATAATGGAGAATAGATCTAGCCAGTATTGAAGACATTAAATGCATCACCTAACCTAACACAGGGATCTCTCTGCTTAGCTGTTTCTCGGTAATAGGCTTCTATTCCTTTTATTATTGCTATATCATCTTTCTTCAAACATGGATCCCGATTTAAAGATTCTACGACAAATTCCAAAAGTGTGTCGAACATAAACACGACGTGACAATAGCGTCGAAATTTTGTCTATGTTTAAGAACAAAGTTCACTCATATCTTCGCTTTAGAGGATCTTTCTTCGTTAGAAGACAGATGGTAAGCTATTTTTCCTCTTTGTGTACTACCAGAGCAACTGATAAAGTTTAGCTGCCAGCAACACAAAATTTTCCACCCGGTTGCTGCTCATTTCTTTTAGTTTCTATGCGCTGTGTTGAAGGACGGTACTCTTTTCTACGTCATCCCCGTGTCAAAGTTCGCACAAAAATCGAAAAAAAACCCCCAACAACTATTCTAGGATCAGCTTGACAAGGCCAATTTTAGTTCTGTTTTCAGAGCTAGTATCAGGGAAGAGAGATTTACAAAACAAGCTCATAAAGAGCGAAGTGAAAAGTTCATTTCACAACCACTTTCGCTAAAAGTGGCAATTAGACAAATTTTTTGAATCATGTAATGGAAAATATTAAAAAATACACGGCTAAACTTCTACTATCAATATGGTAACAGTTATATCTTCAATATGTAAGTTTAGATTATTATGAATAGTGGGGTTAGCGATAAATAAATCATACGTTACAGTATACAAACATTTATGTCGGCAAAAGAGCCACATTATGAATTGGAATGATTCTACAAAGTTCCCTACCATGGTTGATGTAAGCAGCAGGACCTAACCATAACTGAGAACAATTTTTTCTTGTGGAGAACATGATACTGAAGTCGTTAATTCCTGGACGTAATAACTTCACTTCTTCTTCACGCGTCATCTCAGCAATACAACCACATAAGTAAGGAATCTTATCACCCTTCGACCTACACAATGTTTGAAAATAGTAAAATGAACCTAGGTACAAGCAAAGTGCGAAGTTACCATTTCAACACTCCCTTTTGACTTATAGTTTGAATCGACCACAAAATGTGTCATACATTTATTTTATTTCGCCATTAGCTAACTTAATTTCATTTCTCCTGTTTTTCAGCTCCGGCTCCGGCCTTTTGTAATTTCAGAGCTCTGCCTTCAAAATCTGGCTAATTTATAGCTTCTATAACTTCAATATCAGCCTGTGCCTAAATTGTGGTAAATTTTGCAAGTCATTGTTTAAGGAGGTGTATTTTACATAATTAAGGAAGTTATTGGGCTCATTTGGTTTGCTCACAAAGAAAACAGTTACGAAGCAAAACAATTATAAACACGAAGAGGTAAAATTTATGTATATGAAGTAAAAGTTCCACACTCTAACTTTCAAACATAAGTTATCGTGTGTAAACGCAATGTTGTGTCATGCATAAAATGTTTTATTTTCATGCAAGTTTTTCAATTTTAGCAGATAGTTATCGTTTATTGATACAATGTTTAGATCTGACACGTTTACCGAAGTCTGACAGTATTTTGCAGCAAGAATAACTGCTGCGGGAGTTTTGCAAAAGATTAACAAACTCCGGCTCCGCAAGACGAAAAACAACGGCCTAACTTCGGCCTCCGATGCACAGCACTAATCATGAAGCGAGCATACTTGACTTCGTGGTAAATAAAACTTTTCGTTTAACCTATCACAAACAATAGTCTAATAAACTAGTTGTTATCTTGTTGTCCACGATGTAATGCCTATGATTAAGTATTGGATACTTTGCCTTTAAAGTAAAACTTCCATCAATATAGAATTAAATACAAAATTTCAACATCCCTTGTAATTAGTTTCGACCTTTTTACGATTCGATGATAATATTTGCCTTTTCTTGTTCACCATCAAGTTATTAAACAGTTATTGGGTATTGTTGAACATAATATCAAGAGTTATTCAAACCAAGGTCAATGTTATCTGCCGAAGCAAAGCTGAAACGGATAACATTGTTGGAAGTCTGAATAATTCTTGATGTTATGCGAAAGCCAAATTCAATAATTGTTTTATTATTCACCTAAATTGAAATAAAAGTTAAACTGATCACTGTAGAACATTTTTAAACTTTTGCTAATTTTTTCTATTAAGACGGTTTTTTCAAGTTCTCGTTTAGAAGAAACATTCTTGCCGGTCCATTATTTTCCCGTAATCGACCACAGCCAAAACGCGTAATTTTACTATGAAATGTAAACAAACTTCGTAAAGTAAACAGCAAAACGCAAAAAAATGAAACAAATAACCATTTACGTGAGTCAAAGGAAGAACACTCGGAAAACAGTTTAATTATCCAGATAATATAATTTGAAACGATTTATTTTTTATTGACAAAAACTAAAAGAGCATAAACGAGAAAGAAAGCAAGCTTTGTTTCAGGTTAATTAATGCCATATAATAAACCTTTTAATAAGCTCGCTTTTTTGGTCTTTAATGATACAATAATTGATCACATGATTACATTAATGTAATTGTAACTGCAAACACCAATGCATGACCGTACAAATTAATGCCAATACCAACGACAGAATGAATGTCCATAAGAATAACTATATTATGTCAACACCAATTTATACATCATAAATACAAATACCAATGCACAGCTATACAAATTACAATATTATGACTATATGAATGCCAATATCAATCACAATGAATGTCAATACTGATGTTTAAATGAATTTAATACCAATGACTGTATGAATGTCGATGGCAGTTATTGAATGAATGTCAAGTTGCTTCATATTCAACCCAATAGCTTGAGACACGGTATTGTAACATTAATAGACAAGGCAGACTTGGCAGACTTGCAGGTAGTCTTATTAATTTTTGTGGAGAGGGTGTTAGCTTTTGCATGTTACTATCTGTAGAAAACAGTTTGCTACAAGGAATCTAAAACTGTAGAATATGCGTATTAATGAATACCCCCCTCTCAGACTTCATCTGGACCACCCCACTTTGACGCAACATGATGGTATACTGTATTTCATAACAGAGCAACACTTATCAATACGATATGCAGGTGTGCCTTCAGTATTTTCTGTATCTCTTAAAGTAGGATAGCTAGCAATTTAGACACAAAATTGATATTGAGATATATGCACTGTACTGGATTTTCAGACGCAACTTTTTACCCGGAGTTAACGGCAGAGCTGGCATTTAGTTATTCGTGCAACTCTGTATTCGATAGCGGAATTTGTAAAAACAAGCGCGCAAAGCATTACCGTGAAACTCATTCTTTAAAATTGTTAATTGTGTTTCAAACAAAAAATTAACCGAATTAGGCGTTTGTATAGTATCCAGGAGCAGTGACGCAGCCAGCCCGCAAATTTGGTTGTGCCATGTAAATTTCTGTTCATTAATATTAATTTCTTTAGAAATCTATTGTTTTTACTGTTAGTGAACACAGAAATATTTACATAGAATGACTAAATTTGCTGGCTGGCTACATATGCCACTGTCCAGGAGCATACAAAACCGCGTAAGCGCCTGGATCATACCAACAAAAAAGCACCAGTGTTGGATTTAAAGGTGCCGGCGAATTTAGCCTTCCGGTTATTTATAGAGTTCACTTGGCAGCAATAACTGGATGAACTTGAGCTACTTTGAGGGTAACTGGCTAACTATTTACATAGGATTTACTATAGAGATATAGTTTGGGCATGCACAGTTGACTCGACCAACTATCCAAGTTCATAGTCATGTAAGCAACCATTGAACACATACATACTGGCACAAATTATATCAAAGAAATCGAAAGAGCACGCGCAGTTGAGTTAACCAACTGTCTTAGGTCATGGAAAAGAACAGCTAACTGGTTGTCTGGCTCCCCACCTTAGCTATGTCACTGTGATTGATACAAATGATTTATTTGTTATTTATACGTGAAAATTCACCAGAGAGGTTTTCTTGCAAAAAAACATTTTTATGGCCCTAGTGGTCAGAGAAAAAATAATATTTTAAGCAGCCATGGCAGTAAATAACTCGATAAATAATTTCATAAATTGTCAGTGTATGTATTTATAAATATATACGCTGATGTCATTTCCACCACAGGTGATGTACATATTTCATGTGAATTCCATTAAAGGTACATATATTTCAACGGTTAAATTACTTCATGTAATTTCCACTCCAGGTTTTCATGTCACTTATACCCATGCATTTGACATAAGTTTTATCCCAAAGTATTTCTTATTACATCATACTCAGGCATTACATCAAAAGTTGGTAGTGGTAGTGCTATGGTAGTGCTATGGTAGTGCTATGGTAGTGGTAGTCTATGGTAGTGCTATGCAAAAATAAATTGTTACCATTGCTGCCTAGAAATCACTTTCGCTCCCATTTCTTCAGTGGAATATCGAGTACATGGAACAACACACACTCCAGATGCAGGGATGAACAAACCAAGATATTTTGACAACTAGAAAAACATAACAAACTCACAATAAAAAATAGCAAAAATTAACTACTTTACAAAACTTCATAGTTGGATATGAACAACTACCTCATTTTTGAAACTTGACTACAGATACTTCAGTGAGTTCCCTGCTACACCAGTTTAAAATATGGCACACTGACAGGCAGTGATATTTAACTACACACCAACATTAGGTAAGATTATTTAAAAAAAAATACTGGAGCACAGATGTTTGCCGACTAATACACCAAACAATTAAGTAAAAGCAATTGTGAATAGTGTTAAGCACTTTCAAAAAATCTCTCTATCATAATAAACAGAAAAGTTATATATTCTACTGCAACAAGTAGCCATCAAAATTCAAACACAAACTAGAGCACTCCTCTCAGAATAAATCAAGGATCCATGCCTGACGTATATTGACTGGCTATGCTAACAACACAGAATAAGAATAAACCTGAGAGATAAGTCATTTGCGGAATTAAAACAACTGCACAACTTCACTAAACATTTTGTCTGACTAAACCAATCATAGAACACTAAACAACAACTTTAACTAAACACATAGAAACCACTTTTACTAATAGCTCCATCAATTTTAACCAAAATATCAAAACGTCTATTTTTCGTTACCATGTACCTAAACTTAGCTCACTTTACAATGCACCTAACCATTTGAATGACAACATGTTAAGTAAATGGTAAACTATGTTAGTCAATATATGATTGAAGTTGTAACATCCAGTGTCAAATGATAAAGGCACATACAATGTAGCTATGTTTAAGACATTGGAGCATGCTTAGTACATTGTAAAGATCATTCTTGAGTCCTATAAACGCAGTGAATCCGCCATTTAAATTTTAAGGAGTTATTCTTTAGAGTTAATTAGTCTTCATTACCAGTCAAAACTTGCGCTTAACATGGTTGTATATAATTTTGGGCGGTTTGATAGGATTCACTTTGATTTGTATTCATGAAGTATTCTTCTCTACTTTGAACTAACGATACAAATATTTTAAAACGCCAGCTAAAGCAGGCTGAAAACACTAAATATAATATCCATAGTATGATAAAGCTCCTGATAGGGAGTTAATACTTTGCATGCAATCCTATGATCATCATAAGACCTGTGTTTCATAAAATGAGTTCAAATCAAACCATGCTTTAAAACAAGATAACTTCACTTACATGGCTTTTAAAAGCATCAATTTGAGTTCGAGATTTATTGAGGAAATAATGATTACTCCATTGACCAGTCTCTTTCATAATTTCGCCACAAGCCCTCTCAATATCTGTGCTCGATTGAAGTTTTGACAAAGTTTCTCGGATGAGCACTTGATTTGCTTTTATAGGACGAAATCGAGCACTCATTTTATGAGTAATGAAGCCGAGATGGACATCGATCGTCAGATTAATACACATATCGTCATGTTCTGCCAGCTGTTTAGCCGGAGAAATTCCGGGTTTTGTGTAGTCGCTCTTTATTATCACCATATTTCTTAGTGAAGTAAGCTAAATTTTCCCCGTTTAAACGACCATTTCTATAAGAAATGGCCGATCCGCAAAACCACACAATGCATTAACCTTTTATCGATCACTAGAGAGCATAACAAACGCAAGTAAACAGTAAAAAATCAAACAAAATTGTTGACGTACAAAAAAAAAACCCTCGTCACTTCCTTTGTTTTGAACCGTTGAAAGTGCAACGTTGACGCTTTCAATTTTAAATTGAAATAAATATACATATGTCACGTGAGAAGGAAACGAATTCGTCTGTATCGACCACTGATCTCGAAATAAAACTGGGTCAAGCATCTTGCCCCATTGAACAAAAATACATCTGGAACGATAAGTCAGGGAGGTAAAATGAAGCCAGATTTTTTCATTTTGCAGGTCGCGCCAGTCCTTTTGTTAAAAAAATTCAAAAAATGGCATTTTTATATTTGTAAAATTACAAAATTTCTAATTTGAAGAATATTAGTCAAAATTATAGAATGTCAAAAAATCGGCCAAAAGTCTTAGCATTGCTGAGAAATTTTGAAGTAAAGACGAAAACTGCGAAAAGTCCGCGCTATTTTTGTTGCTTTTTCTGAGTTTTTGAAAGTTCCAGGTATACCCAAACGTTCAAACCACCTAAACATTGTAGTTCCATGTTAAATACACAAGCCTATAAGATGAGAAGTCGTCGAGGAAAGTGAAAGAATCTTTAGTGGAGTGGTCATCTGGTATGAGTGGTGTTAGTAGAGAACTAAGATACTTAGCTAAATTGTAATTGTACGAGTGAATTGATGAAACTATCGGTCGTAGTGGAGGCGATTGTTCTGGTTTCGGTTCTCGTTTCATTTTTCAACTCATCAACCTCTTGTCACAAATTCTTAATCTCCTACGACGTTGAAAGCCTATTTACTAACACACCACTTACTGAAACCATCAACCTATCAATTGACATAATAGTCACTCACAACCTGAGGTTCAGTATAAACAGGACAGACCTCACACAACTGTTTCTAATAGCAACAGCACAGACGCATTTTATATTTAATGGAAAATTTATGACCACATGGACGGTGTTGCGATGGGTTCTCCCTTAGCACCCATACTTGCTAACATTTTCATGGGCTCACATGAACGAAACTGGCTAGACAACTACAACGACACTAAACCACTATTTTACCTCAGATACGTTGACGATATTTTTCGTGTTTTTACTAACGAACCTGAGGCCATGAAGCTTTATAATTACATTAACACACAGCACGCAAACATTAGATTTTCATTTTAAACTGAACAGCCAGATCAACTGCCATTTCTTGACATTTTACTAACAAAATCCCATGACAGCTGTACAACATCTACATATCACAAACCAACGTACACAGGACTTCTGACGAACTATTTTAGTTTCACACTACTTTCATACAAAACCGGACTTATACGCGCACTAATCGACAGAGCATACAAATTTAACAATACGAACAATGGCTTTCAACGACACATAAAAAAATATCACATCCACTCTTTTACGAAACTCTTTCCCACTACACTTTATTAACAGAATCGTAAAACGATATCTCGACAATAATCGGGACGCTCGGACGCTCCCTATTGATTTATCTTACTTCCTTTTTATTGTTGCAATTTATGTCTCATATTACTTTTATATAAACCTTGTATCACTTATTATTTCACTCATACTGAAGATGGCATCATGAGCTGTCGAAACATGTCTATTTTAAAAAAACTTGTCGTGTATAATAAATGCGCTTTAGCAATAGTGCTTTTACGAAATTATGAAAATGCAAATTATGATATAGAGTTGGAGGACAGTGTTTTAGGCGTGTTTGTCCTTGCAAATTTGTATATCGCCTTGCGAATACATGTGCATTTGGCATGATGAGAGAATAGAAAAAAATAGCTTGTTAAATTACTGTATTGTTTAGACAAGCGGTTACTTACATGACGTCACCCGACTGCACAGGCCGAGTCCCTTAGCACTAAATAGAGCGCTTTCATTGGTATATGTTTGGAAGTTTGACGGACTGTACAGCGCAAAATTTTGGAATATGGCTTTTGACACCACTTACATGAATAGTGTAAAACCACGTAAGGTTTATATATGCACTTTAAACATGATGACGTGTAGATCATCATATTTATTGTCTAACTATATGTCATGTACCAACATTCCGTATTTATGTGCACTCCAGATTAAAAATAAAATGATGATAATGTTTAAGTTTTCTTTGGCGTTTAAATTTTGAAAATCGTTTAAAATTGTAAAACAAGTGAAATAATAATTTTGCGTTTTAACTTCGTTGAACAGTATATAGCATCATATTAAAAAATATTGCAAACTAAGAGTAAAATGTGCCTTTTATTTTTATGGTCAGTTGAATTTAAATGAAAGAGCTTAAATAATGCAAAAGAATATTAATTTTAATTCCATCGTTCATCAAAAATTTTCTGAAGAAATAACATAAGAAATATATCAATCGTTCACGGAAAAAAATGAAAAAAACTTTACTTTAATGCTTTTTTTTTAAGTTTTTATTGCACCTGTTATCTGTACAGTGACAATCATTTCCTTTATAATGACCTTAGCAATGAGTGTTGCTTTATTTGAATTTTAATCATTCTCATTCTCATCCTTCAATCGGATATTAGACTTCCCAAAATCATCATAACTTGTATAATGACAGTTGCATGATGACACACAACAATTGTAGTACTTTATTTTCATTATTCAACAACTTCATATGCACTAAAATACATTAAATAAATTCTTTCTCTAAAATATTAATACATTAATGCAGTGTTCAAGCTTCAAGCACTTTAAATAAATTAGAGTTTGAAATAATTACTTTTTTCGCAAGCTGTTGAAATTGGGAAATTTACAAAATGCTCTCGCAGTTCTCGAGATAATTTTTGGATTTCTTTTCTTTTTAAAAAAGCCAAAACGCAAAATACCTAGATGTTGACACATTTTATTTGAAGTTTTAATGAAATGGTAGCTTTCTGGATATTTTTAATTGCTAACTTTTTTATACACATAAAAATTGTGATATATAGTAATATATATAGTTTCTTCTTTACTTATTGAAGCAAAGCTGGTAATCAATAAGTCAAACGACAATGAACATGTCAATTTACCACTGATTATGGTGTAAAGTGTAAAGTTACGATGTTCAACGGCAGCATTGCCACAGTTGTGTTTAGAAACATCACCGTAGAGGTTAAACGAATTCTCCTAATTTATGTTGTAACTATTGCTTCAGAGCACCTTTAGTAGCTCTGTTTTATATAATAAGCTAAAATAGCTTGATTTTGAATTAACCTTGAAATTGGGATAAATTTTATACAACATTCATTTACCACACTCACATGGTTCATAATCTATACAAATTCTGGTAATTTACATCCCTCGAAATTTTTAATATTTTTCGTTTAATATTTTTCGTTTCGTTTTTGAAGATAATTGATGAAAATTCAGATTAAATATTGTGCTGTTTCTTCTTTCATCATATCCTTTGAATTTATGCATGGATCTTTTCAATGCACTCTTTTTGTACGTAATCTTTAAATTCAAAATGATCGCGTGAGAACTTTACCCTGAAGCGGTCAAATGTTTGTCTCAGTTGTGTTTTAAGCAATTAACACCAGTTTGTTTTTCTTTTTCTTAACAACATATCCAAATAGTTTCAATAACTTTGGCTCGCAATTTTTTTTTAATTTGAATAGAAATACGGCAAAATGTTGTACTTAAACAAATGCTTTAATTTAAAAGCAATAATATTTTCCTTGTTCTTCGTCGTAGCAAGTGCTGTGAATTTTGCTATAATGCTTCATAGCTACAAATGCGAGGGAAAATTTTTAAATTTAAATAACAGACTCTACAACACTTTTTGCAAGTGTTTTTATACTTAAATTTCTATTAAATTTTAAGAAAGTTGAAAGCATATTGATTTACTTTATAGAAGATCAATATTTTCATGAAGATAAAATATCCATGCATATATTGTTTAACATTGTAGACAAAATTTGGTGTAATACTTAACTCATCATATTTTTAATACCTAGAGAATAATATATATAAAAATAAGTTAACAAAATGCCAGTTTTTGTTTGTAAGCAAAGGATTCAAATAAAATTCAAGGATTAATATTTGATGAAATATCAATATTTGCACAGCTGTGTAAATTGTAGCTATTAGACGAAATTACACCAATATTTGTTGATGCATAACTAAGATTATTATTGGTTGCTTCAATAATTTAATAAGTAAACAGTTTTAACCATAGCACGCATTTTGTTTTCAATTTAACAAGAAACATAGCAAAATGTTGTACTCGAAAAAATGCTTAAAGTTGACAGCTATATTATTATGCCTGCTTAATGTTCTTGGTAGTAGCAGTTGTTTTGATTGTTGCTATAATGCTTTATACAAGGGTAAGAAAAAAGTTTGATGTCTTAATGAGGAGTTTGCGCTTGGCCTAGAGTGAAATATTACAGCTATTGGAAACTTTACTAAACTCACGATGACTGGGTATTTTTTCTTAGGTTGGAGATTTCAAGGGAATGTATTTAAAAAAATCGAAGTACAAAACGAAATAGAATGCATCGTAAAATGCGTTAAAGAGCCATGTTGTCGATCTATAAACCACAGAAGAAGGTTAAGCCAAGGACGTCGGAGTCTGTGTGAAATGTTACATAGTGTTCTAAATGACAGCAACCGACAAAACTTAAATCAAAATCGATTTTATGATTATGTTTTCTTTAACACACCGATCAAAGTAAGAATTGATTTTAAAGTTTGTGTGTTTTATTTTTGTACCTAAAAGCAAGTAGCTTAACTCAAAAAGAAAGTTTTACAAATTTCTCTTTCACCAAAATTCACCTAGATTTTCCTTATCATCCTAACTTTTTCGATTTTTTTTAACTTTTAGATGTACAACAAAAGCTGCAAACTGCAACAGCGTAAGTACTTCGTAGCTATATTGTATTATATTGATAAACTTGACTTATGTTTCATTCAATTCATCTAAGCCCTCAACAAAAGTTACGATTTGGTATTTTCCAATGCTCATGTTGAGAACTTGATTCTTCTCGATAATGTGATGCCTAATATATCAGAGATGACATTGTCATTTTGGGTAAACACAGTTACAAGGCGAAAAATGGCGCTGTTTTCTTATGCTGTTCGGAACAGTCCTGATGAATTTTTTGTGGGATTTAACAGATAAAGGATCATCATTACAATAAAATCGTCGACAAAAGAGTAAGAAAAATTAATTTTATTGGTTTAAACTACCGTTAATAATTCATCAAGCTGCTAAATTTGGAAATCTGAAATGTGCAAAATATTTGTATGCTTAAGGCAAACTATATTTTTAGATGCACGGAAGACATGTATTCAAATCCATCTTCAATGTATTACTATTTTATACATTATCATACATAGTTGTTTTGAAGCTGTGTTTGTTAAATATGATTGGTTCATTTTCAGCTATATGATTTAAATAAATGCAATTATTCATACTGGGAAGCAGGTAAAAGAAGGCTGTCCCCCACCTTTTCATATCACGACAATAACAATCATATAAAGTAAAAACTGAAAGAAATTTTACGCTTATAGTAATCAATGAAATTGAACTATTAATAAAAGCAAGGAATCAGAAAATACTCCAAGGTTAACAAAAATGCTATAGTCACTATTAAAGCATTTTGCATAAAAAATTCGCCAGAAATATCTCCCCAAAATACGTTGATGTTGTTAAAGGCTTTCGCAATTAATGGTCTTTTTTCTATTTTACATAAAACTTAATGTACGCTCTCGTGAAAATAGGGAGTTTTGCATGCTGAAAGACAATGCTGTAAAATCTTACTGCCCATTTTTTGTGCAAGCTAATATTTAACTTAACTCGTGTAATTATTGCATTTTAATTTGAAAGAAAATTACTTTAAATGTTGTTTTGTTAACTTTAAAGTGCATACAAACCTTATAGGACTTTAGCATAGATTGAAAAAGCAGTTTTAAAACAACAAATTTAGAAAAACAGATGAATTGAGATCAAAGCTTTCTTCGCAATTGCGGTTTAAACGCCCATATTTTCCTCACATTTTTTGAAAATGGGGTGTGGTATCCAGTACATGTTGTGATGTCATGTAAACAGCACATTCGTGCAGGCTCTATTCAAAACAAATTATTTGCTTTTAAAATAATCAATATTTTAGAGGTGTCTGTCCTTGCAAATTTGTATTTCGCCTTGCAAATACATGTGCATTTGGCATGATGAGAGAATAGAAAAAAATAATAGCTTGTTAAATTACTATAATGTTTAGACAAGCGGTTACTTACATGACGTCACATGATCACGCAGGCCAAGTCCCCTAGCGGTAAAACTGAGTGCTTAAATAGTTATATGTTTGGAAGTTTGACGGAGTGTACAGCGCAAAATATTTGTCCAATTTCATCAAAATTTTGGAATATGGCTTTTGGCACCACTTACATGAATAGTGTAAAAACCACGTAAGGTTTATGTATGCACTTTAGACTTAATGACGTGTAGTTCATCATACTTATTGTCTATATAAGTCATGTAGCAACATTCCGTATTTATGTTCACTCCAGATTAAAAATAAAATGTTAATAATGTTTAAGTTTTCCTAGCAAGACCCGCGTATCAAAAATGCACAAAGTTTGAAATTTCCCTCAGCTTTTTCAACTTTGTTCTTAACATTTGAGAAGAAATTTTCTTAAAATCATTCGTTAATTTTTCTTTTCTTATTTTTCTTATATGAGGCAATGCTGATACATGTGTTGTATTCTCCTTTCGAATCTTTTTTATCACATTTAAGCATTCCCATTTATCCAATCAACAACGGTTATTGGCATCACGTGGTCATCATCATCACTCAGATGACTGAGAAGATTTATTTTGATGGTGTAATAATTTTAAACGAAACTATGGTCAATCATTCATTACCTGTATTACGTGGTGGTGGTGTTGTTGCTATTGGTCAAAAACTTGAATGTGAAAATGGTGTTTTTGATCCAGAGATTTCATTTGTTGGTAAAATACGTTACTTAAATTTATGGAACTATGACGTGACGCTCAACGCATCATGTATAATCATGGGGTTGGAAAATGGATGTAATACATTGCCACATAAACGAGTAATTCTGTGGAGAGATCTTGATTTTTTCTCCAGTGGAAACGTTTCAAGATTTTTTACATTAGGTATGTAAGGATTATTGTATTATAATGTATCATAATGATGAAATAAAACATCTGAAGTGTTAAAGGAAAGATACAAAATTATAAGAAAAAAAGGATTTATGACTTTCACTCAAGATAAACATGAGTTACATTAGCCACATGATTTCACAATACACAAGAAAATCATGATATTTTCTTTGAAAACTATAGAAATTATCTAAAAAATCAAACATCGTGAAAATTAAAAAATTTAGAAAAATAGTTTTATGCAACAAAATGTGTTTCTCGTGTTTCTTGATTGTAGCTACAAAATTTGCATAATCAGCTATTAGCATGGTTTGTTTTTTAAATAAATTATTCTTGTCAAATTTCAAAATTTTTACTAGTTTTTTTTAAAAAGTATGCTAATGACTAACACTATCGTATTTGTAACGTTTTGTGATGGTTTTGGTTTGATTAAATTGGTCCAAACATTCACACAACGTTTTAAAACCTTTTATGATTCTTTGACGTTGTGGGAACGTTGTGAGAACGTCATCATTTTACGTTTTTTACAAACGTTAATGTACGTTAAAAGAACGTTGTTAGCATACATTCAAAATGTAGTGGATTTACGTTTGTGAGATCTTTTTAATGCATTAATTTGCACCATTTAAGTTTGTTTCCTTTGAAAATAACTTTACCTGAGAGGCTGTGCTATAAATGTATTCTACTGAAAACCAGTTGCGTAACTAGAACGTTAATTGGGAGGTGCATATTCATTTATTCCGTTGTGCCCTACTGATTTCTTTGAAAGTAATTTGAATTTCAAAGAAATCAGTAGGGCACAACTGAACATATGAATATACACCCCCCTCAATTAGCGTTCTAGTTACGCCTCTGCTTAAAATGTTCGAGGAATGATACATCCAAACGTTCTCAGAACGTTTTTATCAACGTTCAATTGACACTTGTAAAGGACACTTCACACTTGTAACTCTCCAAATGTTTATGGCTGGCTCTATATCCAAAAAGTTTGCACTAATGATTTAATATCGCTACTTGTTAAAGTTTCATGCTTTTATCATCGAAGTGAATAATTTGGCATTTTTAAGGACGTCAACAGCTGGGCTATTATAGAGTGAAAATAAATATTTGTAGGGATATCGGGGTTTCGTTTTGACTTTTTCATAGACTGTCATGCATGTAAGAAAAACTAAAAATTTCGCTTAGTTGTGCAAACTCTCTGATTGTTTTACTTTTGTTTGAAACTAAGCAACCGATTCTCATTTATAAGATTTCATTATAAATACATGGTTGTTTAAAAACGAATATGTTAAGGATAAGAAGCTTGTTTCTTATTAGCACTTTGAAAGAACATGTGTGTGAATTATGCATTTTCATTCTAGTATTCAATGAAACACAGGCTTGCATAAAGGCAAACTGGTGGCGTTCATTTGACAAGAAAGGATGGTCAACTTGTAAGTTGAACAACACATTTATAACTGGTTTTTGGCGCAACCAGTTAACCAATTCTAAAAATGATGGAATTCACAAACTTGAAATGGCTAAGTGCTGCTCGTCAAGTAAAATGTACAGAGGACAGAGTAGTAAATGTCAAAATGCCGACTGGTGGAATACTTTTGATAAGTGAGTATCTTATACAAAAAATCCATATATTACAATTTTAGTTGAGATTAGAAAGTAATTAAGAATTTTCAAGCCAAAAATTAATACCTCCAACATTGCCATTTATTATTTCGTGAGCTATTATAACGTCTTTTCCAAGATTATTATGATAATTAAAGAGTATTGTCAGAACTTTATTTTATAAATGTCTTGATAATATAATAGATATTAATTATTCCATGAGTTTAGAACTTTTATATGAAAACGTGAAAATGTATTGTTCATTTAATTTAAGCAATTTTTTTCAAAGCGTGGTTTCAAATATTCCAAGAAACAGTAATATATATTCCAATTTAGAATTTTTTTGGACGTCATTATCAACACTCGACATGTGATTTTACGTCTATATATGATTTTTATAGAATATTTTAAAGAAAAGAGTTTAGATATAAATTGCTACTTACCTTTTTGTTAAATATCGTCTTTTAGACAAGGGACTTGGAGTTATTGCTTTAACGGGTATTTCCTAAATGGTCTCTACCGTACCAAAGGCAAAAGATTACACAATATTGAGGAAGGAAAATGTTGCAAACCAGTCAATCATCCAGACAAGTATGGTGATTGTTACGATGAAGACATTGGTGAAAAGTTTAACAAAAAAGGATGGGCATTGTGCAAAAGAGCTGGGTATTACATAACAGGATTATACAGAGGTCCTGGAGATAACTGGCTTCACAGCATTGACCAATTAAAATGCTGCAAAATGTTTGGAGGTAATTATTCGCGGTAACTTTCACTATATACCGGCGACAGTTCATCTAGTATGAAAGCAGAATCCCGACAAGTACGTTAAATAGCTCTTATTCTTTAAGATTGTCGTATAAATTCTTCTATAAGGCTAAAGGCAATATATTAAACAGTTACAATAATTTGTCCATTTTTTCAATTATTCTCACCAATTTGAACTAGTAAGAAATAAATTTTATCAAGCTCAACTACGTTATCTACAACAATCAAAGACATGTTTGCCTTGTGTTCAGTTGCTCTGTTAGTAGTAATGGAATGTCTTTGATTTTGTCTTCGCTGCTTTTTGCTTCTTTTGGAATATTTTTATTGACTGTTCTGTCTCTGTTTAAACCTTGATTAAGTTTGGTATAAGTTTTCAAAACAGAGTCAGCACAGATGTTTGCCGACTAATACACCAAACAATTAAGTAAAAGCAATTGTGAATAGTGTTAAGCACTTTCAAAAATCTCTATCATAATAAACAGAAAAGTTATATATTCTACTGCAACAAGTAGCCATCAAAATTCAAACACAAACTAGAGCACTCTTTGAATAAATCAAGGATCCATGCCTGACGATATTGACTGGCTGTGCTAACAACACAGTATAAGAATAAAGCTGAGAGATAAGTCATTTGCGGAATTAAAACAACTGCACAACTTCACTAAACATTTTGTCTGACTAAACCAATCATAGAACACAAAACAACAACTTTAACTAAACACATAGAAACCACTTTTACTAATAGCTCCATCAATTTTAACCAAAATATCAAAATGTCTATTTTTCGTTACCATGTACCTAAACTTAGCTCACTTTACAATGCACCTAACCATTTGAATGACAACATGTTAAGTAAATGGTAAACTATGTTAGTCAATATATGATTGAAGTTGTAACATCCAGTGTCAAATGATAAAGGCACATACAATGTAGCTATGTTTAAGACATTGGAGCATGCTTAGTACATTGTAAAGATCATTCTTGAGTCCTATAAACGCAGTGAATCCGCCATTTAAATTTTAAGGAGTTATTCTTTAGAGTTAATTAGTCTTCATTACCAGTCAAAACTTGCGCTTAACATGGTTGTATATAATTTTGGGCGGTTTGATAGGATTCACTTTGATTTGTATTCATGAAGTATTCTTCTCTACTTTGAACTAACGATACAAATATTTTAAAACGCCAGCTAAAGCAGGCTGAAAACACTAAATATAATATCCATAGTATGATAAAGCTCCTGATAGGAGTTAATACTTTGCATGCAATCTATGATCATCATAAGACCTGTGTTTCATAAAATGAGTTCAAATCAAACCATGCTTTAAAACAAGATAACTTCACTTACATGGCTTTTAAAAGCATCAATTTGAGTTCGAGATTTATTTAGGAAATAATGATTACTCCATTGACCAGTCTCTTTCATAATTTCGCCACAAGCCCTCTCAATATCTGTGCTCGATTGAAGTTTTGATAAAGTTTCTCGAATGAGCACTTGATTTGCTTTTATAGGACGAAATCGAGCGCTCATTTTATGAGTAATGAAGCCGAGATGGACATCGATCGTCAGATTAATACACATATCGTCATGTTCTGCCAGCTGTTTAGGGAGAAATTCCGGGTTTTGTGTAGTCGCTCTTTATTATCACCATATTTTAGTGAAGTAAGCTAAATTTTCCGTTTAAACGACCATTTCTATAAGAAATGGCCGATCCGCAAAACCACACAATGCATTAACCTTTTATCGATCACTAGAGAGCATAACAAACGCAAGTAAACAGTAAAAATCAAACAAAATTGTTGACGTACAAAACCCTCGTCACTTCCTTTGTTTTGAACCGTTGAAAGTGCAACGTTGACGCTTTCAATTTTAAATTGAAATAAATATACATATGTCACGTGAGAAGGAAACGAATTCGTCTGTATCGACCACTGATCTCGAAATAAAACTGGGTCAAGCATCTTGCCCCATTGAACAAAAATACATCTGGAACGATAAGTCAGGGAGGTAAAATGAAGCCAGATTTTTTCATTTTGCAGGTCGCGCCAGTCCTTTTGTTAAAAAAAATTCAAAAAATGGCATTTTTATATTTGTAAAATTACAAAATTTCTAATTTGAAGAATATTAGTCAAAATTATAGAATGTCAAAAAAATCGGCCAAAAGTCTTAGCATTGCTGAGAAATTTTGAAGTAAAGACGAAAACTGCGAAAAGTCCGCGCTATTTTTGTTGCTTTTTCTGAGTTTTTGAAAGTTCCAGGTATACCCAAACGTTCAAACCACCTAAACATTGTAGTTCCATGTTAAATACACAAGCCTATAAGATGAGAAGTCGTCGAGGAAAGTGAAAGAATCTTTAGTGGAGTGGTCATCTGGTATGAGTGGTGTTAGTAGAGAACTAAGATACTTAGCTAAATTGTAATTGTACGAGTTAATTGATGAAACTATCGGTCGTAGTGGAGGCGATTGTTCTGGTTTCGGTTCTCGTTTCATTTTTCAACTCATCAAACTCTTGTCACAAATTCTTAATCTCCTACGACGTTGAAAGCCTATTTACTAACACACCACTTACTGAAACCATCAACCTATCAATTGACATAATATTCACTCACAACCTGAGGTTCAGTATAAACAGGACAGACCTCACACAACTGTTTCTAATAGCAACAGCACAGACGCATTTTATATTTAATGGAAAATTTATGACCACATGGACGGTGTTGCGATGGGTTCTCCCTTAGCACCCATACTTGCTAACATTTTCATGGGCTCACATGAACGAAACTGGCTAGACAACTACAACGACACTAAACCACTATTTTACCTCAGATACGTTGACGATATTTTTCGTGTTTTTACTAACGAACCTGAGGCCATGAAGCTTTATAATTACATTAACACACAGCACGCAAACATTAGATTTTCATTTTAAACTGAACAGCCAGATCAACTGCCATTTCTTGACATTTTACTAACAAAATCCCATGACAGCTGTACAACATCTACATATCACAAACCAACGTACACAGGACTTCTGACGAACTATTTTAGTTTCACACTACTTTCATACAAAACCGGACTTATACGCGCACTAATCGACAGAGCATACAAATTTAACAATACGAACAATGGCTTTCAACGACACATAAAAAAATATCACATCCACTCTTTTACGAAACTCTTTCCCACTACACTTTATTAACAGAATCGTAAAACGATATCTCGACAATAATCGGGACGCTCGGACGCCCCTATTGATTTATCTTACTTCCTTTTATTGTTGCAATTTATGTCTCATATTACTTTTATATAAACCTTGTATCACTTATTATTTCACTCATACTGAAGATGGCATCATGAGCTGTCGAAACATGTCTATTTTAAAAAAACTTGTCGTGTATAATAAATGCGCATTAGCAATAGTGCTTTTACGAAATTATGAAAATGCAAATTATGATATAGAGTTGGAGGACAGTGTTTTAGGGGTGTTTGTCCTTGCAAATTTGTATATCGCCTTGCGAATACATGTGCATTTGGCATGATGAGAGAATAGAAAAAAATAGCTTGTTAAATTACTATATTGTTTAGACAAGCGGTTACTTACATGACGTCACCCGACTGCACAGGCCGAGTCCCTTAGCACTAAATAGAGCGCTTTCATTGGTATATGTTTGGAAGTTTGACGGACTGTACAGCGCAAAATTTTGGAATATGGCTTTTGACACCACTTACATGAATAGTGTAAAAACCACGTAAGGTTTATATATGCACTTTAAACATGATGACGTGTAGATCATCATATTTATTGTCTAACTATATGTCATGTACCAACATTCCGTATTTATGTGCACTCCAGATTAAAAATAAAATGATGATAATGTTTAAGTTTTCTTTGGCGTTTAAATTTTGAAAATCGTTTAAAAATTGTAAAACAAGTGAAATAATAATTTTTGCGTTTTTAACTTCGTTGAACAGTATATAGCATCATATTAAAAAAATATTGCAAACTAAGAGTAAAAATGTGCCTTTTATTTTTATGGTCAGTTGAATTTAAATGAAAGAGCTTAAATAATGCAAAAGAATATTAATTTTTAATTCCATCGTTCATCAAAAATTTTCTGAAGAAATAACATAAGAAATATATCAATCGTTCACGGAAAAAAAATGAAAAAAACTTTACTTTAATGCTTTTTTTTTAAGTTTTTATTGCACCTGTTATCTGTACAGTGACAATCATTTCCTTTATAATGACCTTAGCAATGAGTGTTGCTTTATTTGAATTTTAATCATTCTCATTCTCATCCTTCAATCGGATATTAGACTTCCCAAAAATCATCATAACTTGTATAATGACAGTTGCATGATGACACACAACAATTGTAGTACTTTATTTTCATTATTCAACAACTTCATATGCACTAAAAATACATTAAATAAATTCTTTCTCTAAAATATTAATACATTAATGCAGTGTTCAAGCTTCAAGCACTTTAAATAAATTAGAGTTTGAAATAATTACTTTTTTCGCAAGCTGTTGAAATTGGGAAATTTACAAAATGCTCTCGCAGTTCTCGAGATAATTTTTGGATTTCTTTTCTTTTTAAAAAAGCCAAAACGCAAAGTACCTAGATGTTGACACATTTTATTTGAAGTTTTAATGAAATGGTAGCTTTCTGGATATTTTTAATTGCTAACTTTTTTTATACACAAAAAAATTGTGATATATAGTAATATATATAGTTTCTTCTTTACTTATTGAAGCAAAGCTGGTAATCAATAAGTCAAACGACAATGAACATGTCAATTTACCACTGATTATGGTGTAAAGTGTAAAGTTACGATGTTCAACGGCAGCATTGCCACAGTTATGTTTAGAAACATCACCGTAGAGGTTAAACGAATTCTCCTAATTTATGTTGTAACTATTGCTTCAGAGCACCTTTAGTAGCTCTGTTTTATATAATAAGCTAAAATAGCTTGATTTTGAATTAACCTTGAAATTGGGATAAATTTTATACAACATTCATTTACCACACTCACATGGTTCATAATCTATACAAATTCTGGTAATTTACATCCCTCGAAATTTTTAATATTTTCGTTTAATATTTTT